ATCATTATCCGCTAATATTTTAAAATTTAATTCAGAATTAATTAATATTCTTAAAATGATTTTTTATAATAAGTTTTATAAGAATAATTTTGAGAATATTCAAATAGTAATCTGTAATACTAACAAATAATAGTATATATAACACATATTATGTACTCACCTTTTCTTGTTTAATCTGATTCATTGTCTACCAAAATGTTCTTTAATTATTATCAAAAGCATACAAGTATGTCTAATGTTATTGATGTTCGTTTGTTGATTATTTATTATTTAATATTCATCTAACGTCATAAGTATGACGATTTTCAAGCCGGAACTTAAAATATTATTATATGCTTAGTAAAGCTAAAAATTTATTATAGAGCAGAGAACGGATATCGTTAGCAAAAGCTTTTCTTTTATATTGAAATGAAAAAAAATAGAGTGGATCATTTTAAATGAATATTAATTGAGAATAAAAGTTTAAAATGCTTTTTACTCAAAACTTAATTTTTTGACTTAGTACACATTAAGAGATTTATAAGTGCATATTTTAGTTTAGTATTTGAATACACAATTATTATTATATTTTTTTTTATGTACATATATCCAAAATATTTACTATATTTATGAATAGTAGTTTTCAACAATAGAATTAAAACTTCCCCGAAAATAAAACGCATAGTATTCTCACGAAATTTCTTTGAAATAATTTGAACTTGAACAAGATCTCTGTTTGGAAAGTTATGTTGATATTGTCTTCATTTTAATTGTTATTACATCAAATAGAACTAATTATAATATAATATCCCGATATATTCCAATTTTTCATTTTTTATTAATATGTAAATAATATTTTTGTAAGACTTTTAATATTATTATTGTTATTATAATTGTTAATATGAATTATAAACCGGATTACCTATAATACCTCTTGTACCGGAAATATTTTTAAAAAAAATTGTTATATTATAATATTTTTGACGTCAATAAGCTTTTCAGGAAAATTCTTAATTTAAATGCATTTAAACGAAAATTTTGTAATAACTACCCCAACATCGAAATTTCATCAATATTGTATTATTGTTACTATTCAGCTTGTATACTCGTATAAGTTATAATTGCTGAATTGTATAGTAATATAGCATCATTGTAAAATCTGTATCAGATTTTAAATAAAATTATATTATTATATAATTCAAAAACATATAAAATTTGGAAGAGATAAGCTGAAGAGAAGTCGAATGAGTTAAGAGTAGAACATCCAAATTGAAAAAATACTGTCTGACAAAAATATCCATAATCCTTCATAGCACTGTAATGACAATATTAGTGGATGCTAAAAATTGAAAATCCCACCAATATGTTGACGTTCACGAAAGTAAATTAACAATGAAAGAATAATTATTTTCACTTTCTTCGACATTTTTTATTCGAACTCCAAAAATGTTGCGAAAATACTAAAAATGTTACGAGTACATGCTTATAAATATTTGGATATGTAAAAAGTTTCTCATTTAAGTCTTTCGTTTTATCTCTGCAACAATACTTCAAATTACTTACTTACTTACGAGTTGAAATTAGCAGCACTAAGCCAAAAACTCCATGATTGCCTATATTGTTATGTTATATGACTCTCAGAAAACATTTGTGCTGGTATCACATAAATAATAATGTATGCATTAAGTTTTTCGCTATACAGTTTACACACTCGTATATGTATGTATGTATGAATGTACCTCTATGATTTAATATCAAGTGATGATGTAATATACAAAAAACAAAAATTAGAAATTCTTAATGCGATTTTAACATAAAGACGTTGATTTTGTTATTATTTTATTTTTATTATTAAATTGTATATAAGAAAAATATTTAATTATTAATGGTGCTTACTTTTTAGTTTAGTATGTCCATTTCGAATTTTTTTTAAAAATTATTATAGAAATTTCCATTTGACTTGATGACGCTACAAAATACAAAAAGATACAACAAAACGAAAATATATATATATGGTAATGAGAGAATAATACAAAAGAAAACTCCGATTTTATCCGAATTTATTCCGAAAACTCCGAATCTATTCCGAAAACTATTATAAGGAAATGCGCTTATTTAAAATAAGAATGAATTAAAATTTAAATTAAAAAAATTTATAAAGTGCACGAATTTCTAATTTACTTGTGTTTTTTTTTTATGGTCATAAGTGACCAAGTAAAAATAATTAAACTTTAATTTTATTATTTTATTTATTGTATAGATTCTACTTGATCAATAACTTATTTCATATTTGTATATACAATATATTGATGAGTTTTATGTAAATTTTAAATAGTTATACGATTTGTGATTATTATTTAGATATACCCGATGTTCCGGGAACAGTAAAAGAATGTCGGAAAAAATATTGGCGCTTTTTCATATTATGGTATTCTTATACGAGTATACATCAACTTATACGGCGAGTAATTTGGATTTATATTTTAATAAAAATATTGTAATATTTATTTAATAATGTAAAAATGTATTCAGGTATCGAATCAAGATTTTTGTTAAGTGTGAGAATACAATTGAGCTCGTTCAGATACACTTAGGTTATTTTATATAACGAAGAGACTTTTATGTTCTATTTTATTTCCGACAAACTGTTTTTTGTTCTAGGGAAGAACTTTGTATTTCAATGACAAGGCTGAGTTAATAGACAGATGTTTAACATTTGTATATTTAATAAATCAACCTTTTCTAATATGCTTTTCTAATATACAGTATTGAAGAAATATTTTTTAAATACAAATATTAAAATTTAGTATCCAATACTAAAAGACTGCAAAAAAAAAATTAACTTATTGCATTAATTCATCATAATGTTTGTGAGAATTATTTATAATAATTTTTGAATTGAAAATTATTCAATAATGAAAATATACCAAATTAAAAATTTTGAATAATTTTTATGCACAGTAAAAAAATTGATCTGGAAATTCCCAATTTTTTTTTTGTTAATTTTAACACAGTAAGGTTAAATAAGTTTTTATTTTGTAAAATTTTCAAAACGTGTCTTGAAAATTAAATTTTTAAAATTTTTAAAATTAAAGTAACAAATAGAAATCAAAAAATATCTTAACCTTTAAGTATTACTTCCAAAATGTAGTATAAATACAATATTAATACACAATTCAGTTTATAAGTATTTTGTTCGTTTTTTCATATTCGTTAGCTCAAGTCTCATTCGAGTTTCTTCGCTTGTTCGTTCGTTTCGTTCATTCATTTTTCAATTCGTTTGAGTATACAGTTATATTAGAAAGAAAAGTCTGTATATCCCGCTCTCTATATGTTGAAGAGTTTTTCGATTATTTTAAAACTATCAAGCTAGTATGTACATTAATTGCGAAAAATTTTTCGTTTTCAGATTGCAAGAAAAAAACTATAGAAACGGAAAGTATTATTTATGATTTTTATACCCGTACGAACGTATGTTCGAAGGTTATACTAAATTTGCCTTACCGTTTGTAACGCTAAGAAATAGTGGTCTAAGATATAGACTCATGTGTATGTTTTTGATCAGCGTCGAATTCTGAGTCGATTTAGCTTTGTCTGTCCATCCGTTCGTTCGTCCCAACGATAACTCAAAAACTAATTGAGCTAAGTTCACCAAATTTTCACAAATCATTTATTATAATAAATGTCAGAACCCTATTTGATATAATCGGGGTACTGAATCGAGTAGCTGTCATACAACTTTAAAAATTATTTGGCTATATCTCAGAAACTATAAAAGTTGTTACATTGAAATTTCACACAAGCGAATAACTATGTATATTAGTAGGGCCAAAGTGTTTCGATACCCGTACAAATTCGTACGGGTATTATACGGTCAACTCTATTTTTTCTCGTATTAATAAAAAATTTCATTATAATTGCAATTATTGTATAAAAATTTTGTCATTACAATTAGTTTAAAATGAATAATGTTATATAGTCAAGCTTTTTTAATTATTGTACATAATATTGTTTTTATTATACATACATATATACCAATATATCACTTGAACGCAGAAAACGGAGAAAAATTTTTATTTATGGTATAAGTAGTAGTGTTATGAATTTTTAAAGCTCAACGGTAAAACTCAAAATACAAGGTGTATTATATAAAAATTTTACAATTTCAAATATACTTAACTTTTTGAAAAATTCTAATAGAACAGAATATTTTAAATTACATAAAGAATTTACATTATTAATGTGAATTAAAAGGCTGTTGCCAAAAATAAATGTGACCCTCCATATGAGTGACATATAAAGGTAGTTTTCAAAATAAATTTATATTTTTCATCGTGCAACGCACAAAAATCTCGTCTATGAATATTTGTTTTTTGTACTATTTTGATTATTTATACATTATTGTCTTAGACACCCTATAGAAGGAAGAGTATTTACTATTGTAGAATCGAATTATTACATCAAAATAATAAATATTCAACAAAAGAATCAAAAATAATTTGCACAATGTTTAACAATACAGTAATATTATATTTTAACAAGATACATTCAATTCACATATTACAATATATACAGTGTTGTAACTTAGAAGAAACCTAAGTAAGAATTTAACTATTACATTGTGTGAATTGAAGAATGTGAAGAACTTATTAAATTTCGATTCGTCCGAGAATATATATGCTTTTCTATTGTTAAGATGATTTACGGGTTTTTATCAACGAACATAGTTATTACGTTTAGAATTCTTTTGGATATGGCTAATACTGTATATTTGATAATGTATTTCAGTTTGAGTACGCTACAGTATATAATATTTTTACATGAATCTTAGCATATTCTAGAGAGGGTGGTTGCAATTCTCATAATCTTATTTTGTTTTTTTTTTGTTGTTTTTTTCCTTTCATATGGATAACTGAAGGGGTAAAAAATAAAAGAAGGAACTTAAGGCGCTTAAGGAATAAAAATATGCATGTGAATTTTAATATATTTAGAATTTTAATAAGAAAAAAATATATAAATAATGGTTGGGCATAATAAATGTTCATCAGTATTTTTTTATTAATCGTGTTGAAAACATTGTTGATCGAATTGATTACAAAATAATGAAATCGGTATGTGCGATAATTGAATTTTGAAAAGAAAAAGTAAAATTTACTAAAAATTTAAATTGAAAATTAATAAATTAAGGAAAAATTAATTAAAAATAGAAAAAGAAATTTAAATTGAAAATTTGTGATTAAAATAATTATTTAAATATTTTGAAAATGTTATACATATATAAAGTAATTAATTAATTTAAACAAAACTTTTCTTAAAATACAAAAGGATTACTTTATAGGAAAACACGTTGATCGACTAATTTTCTTTTGATTTATATTATACGAATTCTGAATTTAAAATTACAGTTATCCACAATTCAGTTTATGAATATTAAATTCAGCAATTCAAAATTTTCGAACTGACTAACTGGATTGTATAATTAATACGAAATTTAGCAATTTAGAATTTATGAGCTGAATAGTGTTACAATACGAAATTCAACAATTTAGAAATTATGAGCTGAATTCCTCTTTAACTATTAATACTACTATTATATAGATATCGAAAATTTTTAAGGATTATTAGAATAAATTCAAAAACAATATTAACAGTTTAAGCTCTTTCTAAATTTTTAACGATTTTTTTGTTGATAATTATTAAATTATGTTTATAGCCAAATATAAAATTTAAATATACAGCCCTATCATGAATTTCATTCGTAGCTCTGAAATTCGAAATAATACGAATATCTTACTGTGAATTACGAATTACTAAAATTCTGCACCGAATATTCGTAATAGAAAATGTATTCAAACATTACGTTCATAGTAGAAATAACCCTCAAAATAATTAACCAACGTAACAAACAACTAAAAGAGGATGGTAAAAATATAAAAAAACATTTGTCAGTTGAAATAAATTACTGATTTTGGCGCTTCGAAAAATGTTGCTGCCATTGGTGATTCATAGTCTCTATGAAAGGCTTTTCTAATAATTCAAAAGTCTACGTCGTAGCCTAAGTTCGTAATTTATAGAATTTTACGAGTGGAATTCATGAATTTTTATTCAGCTAAATAATAACAGTTTATAAATTAATTTTTTTTTTCATGATTTGATTCTTTTTTGTAGATATTTTTTGTATTTATTTATTTTTGTGGACTATCATTTAGTTCCGGTCACTTACTAAAAAATTTATTAGGTGGTTTTGGAATTAAAAAAGAGATATCAATTGGATTTGGTGGTGGTGGTATCGGTGGTCATAATACTGGTAGCGGTGGTTGTGGAAATCCAGGATGTGGTAATAACGGTGGTGGATCATTTAACGGAGCCGGTAATGGAGGGGGATATGGTGGTGGTTTCGGAGGAGGATATGGAGGTGGATTTGGTGGAGGTTATGGGGGTGGATATGGGGGAGGATATGGTGGTGGCGGTGGGGGTGGTGGTGGAGGAGGAGGAGGATACGGAGGAGGAACAGCTGGAGGATCATCAGGATATGTAGGATCTGGAGGTCATCCAGGATCTGGTCAACAAGGATCTCTTGGTGGAAATATTGTAAAAGTAATAAAAGTTGCTTTACCGGAAATAAGTGGTAATTGTTTTTTTCATTTTTATTTTAAGAAAACAAAAACAAATTAAACATTTTCATTCATGCAACATTAAAAATATATGACATTCTTAGAACTTTAACAACTAAAAAAGCTTTTTCTTCAGTTGAGTCTTTTAGTGTTGTCTAAGTTATTTAAGTTCTAAGTTAGAAAAGCGAAAGAATATTGCATTATCAAAGTCACAATATTTTCATAAATTTTTCCGGCAACAGATAAGCATATCTCTTTTTCTTTCCACTTAAAATTTGATCTTATAATATTTAATTATGAAGATTAACACCTTGCGTATTAATATAAAATTCAGAATAATTTATAAACTGAATTGTGCAGTCAAAAAAATTTTTATATAATTGCGTTTTTTTTCTTTTTTCAAAATGATAAAGTGAGTGGCGGTGGAAGCCATTATCCAAGTGGTGGTAGTGGTCATTATCCAAGTGGTGGTAATAGTCAACATTATCCAAGCAGTGGTGGAAATGGATGTGGATATGGTGGTGGTTGTAGCTCAGGTAATGGTAACGTTTATATACATAAACCTGTTGGTGGAAATAGTGGTAGTGGTTGTGGTCCATCTGGATGTGGCAGTAATATTTATTATGAAAAACAGAAACCATCATATGGTGGCTCTAATGATTGCGGTTCTTCTGGATGTGGTAGTTTTAAAAAAGTTAAAATACCAAACGAATCATTTCATGCTCCATCTCATGGAAGCCCTTGTGGGACTGGTAATTGTGGTGGTGGTGATAATTATGGTTATGGAAATGCTGGCTCAAATGCATACAGTTCAGCAAATACATGGTCATCCAATGGTAATGATAATAATCTTGGCGGTGGTTATCCATCATCATCATGTAATGATTGTCAAAATAAATGGCCTTCCTCATCACATGGAGCTTATTCTAGTGCATCAGCACAAGCATCTGCATCTAGTTACGCTCATGGATAAAATAGAAAAATTAACTGTTGATTTTTAAAATAGAGTCTTGTGAATTTTGTATTAATTTTTGTATTTAGTTTTTTTTTTTATAACTTTTTTAACTTTTCCATTACTTATTAAAATTATATGGAACGAATGCCTAACATAAAGTAGCTGTGAAATTATTTAATAAATTTTTTTATTCATATAAATATATAGATATATTTATACAATATTTTATAGTTTCTGGTTACGAGTAATAATTTATCAATTAAATATTTATAATAATTTTATTTATTAATATTTTTTATATTTGGGGACAAGAATAAGATTCAATGGATTCTGATGTTAAAATTGTAATATCACGGGATTTATTTACTTATCAACTTGTGACTTTTAATATTATTTAGCCAGATATTTTCACTGAGAGTTTCAAAAGTTAGAACTTTGGTTCTATATATATAATCTGATCAGTATTTTATTGCTTTTATTAATTGCAAGTATCGTTACATAGGAAATCTCATATTAAGCCCTATCAAGAGTTCCAATTCCTATGAATGATCCTTTGGATTCCTATGATAGATCTCCAAAAGTTAATTTAAAATATTCGAAAAAACAATTGAGTTAGGTTCATGAAATTTAGCAGTCCTATGTCCAATTATACGTCACATGTATCCTTGAAGTTTTAGTAGAAAGATTTGACAGATTCAGGTAGCTGCCCTTACAACTCCAAAAGAAAATTTTAAGTATTTGGAAAAATATTAAAGCTAGATTGTTGAAACTTGTCAGTCTTGTCTCCACTTATAGATCAGACATAATATCGCAAGGTTAATACTACAACTAGATAATTCGAAAATTTTATATTTTTGGATAATTAACCAAGCTTAGAAGTGTTCTTAAATATCTGAAAATTATAATGCCAAAACTTTCAAATTGCAATGTTTCTGGAGGCATCTGAAGAAGATAACAACATTTTCTTTTCATTATAATATTCCAATATCAATTTGATTGTGCCATCGATCCACACGAAATCCTTGAAAAATTAGATTAAATACAGTTTTAAAAATTATCAAAAAATTAACTTCATCTCTTCTATTAGTTCATCTATATCATATGTTGCGTTTATTTAAAACTCTAAAAATATAATTAACATTTTACAAATAAAGACTATTTAAATTCTAAATTGTATTATTATAAAACATAACTACTTTTTATTACTTACCATTATCATCACGACCTTATTTTATATGGGTTTTTTGAAAGAAGAGTACAAATAAATTTCAGAAACACTAAAAACAACATGTTTGAAACACTAAAAACAACATGTATATAATAGGAATATATGGAATAGATATATGGAATTGATTATTGAATTCAATTTTTTTTACGAAGCATTCCGATTTGTTGCCTTCGTTTCAATTTTTTAAATTTCAATGATCGTTTTATATTTCTTAATATTCTTTAAATCATACACATTTCTTAAAAACATTCTCATTTAAATTTTATTGAACGAAAAAGGAAGAAATGCAGGAAGAAAGGAATTCATAATTCATAATGGATGTTTATTTGACATCTCAAAATTATGTAAAATTTTCATAACTTGAAATAAAACAAGTTTTGTAACAGTGTGTGCAGAGATTTTAAATAATTCATGGAGTGTTCGTTTTAAACACAATATGCTATAAAAGTTCCAAATTAAATCTTAAAAGTCTTTTAACACAAATACTTACAAATCTACAGAAACTAAATATTTTACTTTTGCAGATTTATTACATACTCGAAAAAATTTAAAAATTACCTTAGAATTACCTTCATTCAAATTTTTGAATATGTTTTTTCGTAGATTTTGCGGTTTAGATTTATCGAACGTTCGCTACTCCTGTACCTACTCAAGCAAGAAAATTTATCGTACTTGAGTTGGAATTAAAGATCCATTTTTTTGCAATTACTTTTGTACATGTTTATAAAATTGTATTTTATATTATTTTTCTTCCATTTTTTTCGTATATAGTAAGTAAAATTCAAACAAAAAGTTAAATAATTAAATTAAATTTAAATTTTAATTATTAAATTTTTTTATGCATAATTTTATATTTATAAAAATATAATATCATTTAAATTAAATGTAATAATAAGGAAAAAAAACCGAAATTGACATTAAAATAATACCATATTTATATTATATATATTTTATTAGCTTATCACCATATCCAATCCAGCAAATTAACGCAGGAATTACTTTTGAAATATCATCATAAGATTTATAAGTATCACGTATTAATGTGTTTAATCTAAAGAAATTAATTTAATTACATAATTTGTTTAGATTTCCAATTTTCCATAATATGTCTGAATTTTTAATTCTTTTACTCAAGAATTTAATTTTTTTAATGATACTAAATTAAATAAATTTGACAAGCTTATATTATTATTCATATTACATATTTATTATAGGGTTTAATTGTTAAAAAAGCTAATTTTTTTTTAGAGGGCATCCATCAAAATTCAGACCTAACATTAATTTGATTTATTCAACAATACAATTTTAATTGCTGAATAACCCAAATTGACGTTAGATGTGTATTTTAGTAGACACTCATATATACATACATGTTTTTTAGATTTTCGCGATTTATGAATTGAAATTTCATTAAAATAAAAAGCACCAAATAAACTACTATAAATAAAAATTTATTTTCAATAAATATAATATAATAATCTTAAAAACAATATATGTATATATATATATGATATATTATCATGTATATATATGTATATATATACATGATTTTTGATATGTATATATATATATATATTCTTCAAATTTATAATAATTAAATAAATCATATTAAAAAGAGCTTATATTAGTAAGTCACATTTTACGAATACTTTTTTTTACTTTTAAATTTTTTATAAAGTGTTTTTATTAAATTTAAATGTAAAATAAACAGAAAAAAATTTTATTATATCGAAAATACGAAATTAAATAAAATTTTCTAAATATAAAATTTCCCTCTTTTAAATTTACATTTTGTATAAAATTTTATAATTAAATAATTTTCAAAATTTGTAAAATACAAATTAAATATCAAATAAAATTGATATTTGATAAAAAAAAAACAATAAAATGCAAATTTAAATAACAAATATAAATAAATATATTAAAGAAAAAACAATTTCTGTATTTGTTAAATAATAATGGTTGTTTTAATGAAAGATTTCATTTTGAAATGTTTAATTAGAAATAAATGCACTTTTTTTACAAATCGTTTAAATATAAAATACACAGCCTTATTCTAATACAAGTAGACGCACGTCTGACTATTTGTCACAAAAAGCGTTCATAATGTCATTCTGCTAGACGCATTTTCGAAAACTGTCACATTTAGTCGCGTATATTTTATTTGCGACAAAAATAATAAAATTAAAGAAAATAAATTTAAAGAAAATAGAGAAGATATGTATATTTCAATATTAATATTGAGTAATTTTATTGATTTCCGTATAAAAGTGTAATTAAAAAACAATTTCAAATTTTAGTCGAATTAATGTAAAATTCAATTTCTTAATTTTCTTCATCATTTTCACTTCTGCTTTTATCCAAAAACCAAAAAAGTTCAAAAAACCATTTTTCTCTCTCTAATTAACTATTTGTTATTTATACTTTTTTCTGTCACTAGTTTATTTAAAAACAATAATTTTCCATGAATTCCATTCGTAGAATCCTACGAATTATGTAGAATTCTACGAGTGCAAATCATAACTACGACGTATATTTTTAACATTACTACAAACGTAGAGTGATCACGAATTCTTTTCGTAGAAATTATGAATCATCAATGGCGGTATCTTTTTTCGGAGTGTCAAAATCTATTTCAGTAAACAACTTTCAAACAAAAGGATATTTTTTAAAATATTCATGCAAAAGAAAATATTTTTTGAGCTTTTTAGTCTTAAAATCTTATAGTCTTTAAATATTTGTGAAAAGTGGAAAAAAAATTAATTTTATTATCATTAAATATTTATTCATGTAGATGTTTTAGAGCAATTCAAACTCAAACAAAAAAATTCAAAATTTAATAATTTAATACGACTATTCTCTTTTAATTGCTTTAGTAATTATTTCTAAAAATTACCTCAAAAGTCTACACTTTTGAGGTAATTTTTACTACGAACGTAGCTTATGGCTGCTCCATTACACAAATATTGGGAGAAGATTTTTAGTAATTTGTATTTGATAATATGTTTTTACGAAAATTTCATATCTACAAACGATATTCATGATAGGGTTGATAGTTTTTTAACATCAAAAAATTTCGAGTCTCGCTTCTCCTGTCACATTTCGCGTTTAGTATAATACCAAAAAAAATGTAACAGTCATAAATGCGCGACGCATCTAGCAGAATAAGGCTAACAATGTTAATTCTTATTAACTCGAGAAAAGACGCAAAAGGTTTTTGACAATTCAATTTAGAATTCTTCAATATAAAGTGTGTTCAATAAACCAAACCTACAAAATCTACAAAATTATTATGTTTAAATAAATCTCTGCGAAATACACTACCACAAGAAAATTAAATATTATATAACTGTTTTAAAGTGTTTTCATTCATCATAAATACTTTCAAAAATATTTTAAATTAGAAAAAATATTGTAATCCGTGTCTTTGTCGATTGAAACATCTTTATACTTATTACTAATTTGGCCTACTGAATGTTAAACACTGAACATACTTTACCTTACTAAACGCAATTTTTTGGTATCAAACGAACTTTAATGACTTTTTTGTTGTAATGTCAACAGCGGCATTCCTTTGAGGACAAAATAATATTTCTCGATGGAAATGACGAAATTAATTTTAAGTTTCCTAGATTAGATTGCCTTCAGTAAGTGTTGCGCTATTTTACAAAGCCAGATTATTTTGATTCATCGTATCTGTTATATATTGTTACGTCACCACCATGCTTTACTCTGCATGATACGTGTAATAAAACAGAATTGCCCATAACAAATTCAATTAAAGATTGCCCTCTACCTTTCCAATAAATAAAAATCGTTTTTATCAAATAAATTTTTTTCCCTTCGTAATAAAATTCTACTTGCACTTTTTAAAGTAAACATTTGTGACATGCGTTATGTAACATCCGTTTGCAATTTATCGAACTACATAAAATTTTAATTAAATTGTAATTATGAATTTTAAATAATAAACA